AGTACATGAACTGCTAGGGGATACCTCCAGGGTACAGAAAAGCAGGGCGAGAGGAGGAAGAACTTGCTTTTCACTCAGCAGCCTTCTATAAAATGTTAAGTGGTCAACATGGCATGAATTACATTTTTATTTTTTAAATGATTCAACTGTGACTTTTTAAAGTCTATCATTTTGTCAATAATAGGAAAAAACCCGACTGCCAATTTTAAACCCAAGGTAACTCAGGTTCTCTGGTATCCGCAGAATCAAAGCCATTTTCAAATGCTTTTATGATAAGTAAAATACTGAAAAGCACAGTAACAGAATCAGTACATTCTTCTGAGTAGAAGTCATAGTTTTTGTTTTTTAAATTTTTTTAACAACCAGTGGTTTCCATGGTTTAAGGGTAGGGGAGAGGTTCTGATTTATTTTTTTATGTTTTATTTTAAGTTTATTTATTTTGAGAAAGAGAGAGAGTGCACGTGCACATGGGGGAGGGGCAGAGAGGGAGAGAGATCCCAAGTAGGCTCCACACGATCAGCACAGAGCCCGAAGCAGGGCTCAAACCCACCAACTGTGAGATCACGACCTGAGCCAAAATCAAGAGTCAGATGCTTAACAGACTGAGCCACCAAGGCGCCCCTATTTTTTTATTTTAAAGTTTATTTACTTATTTTAAGAGAGAGAGAGAAGGAGGAAAAGAGCTAGAAGGGGGGCGGGCAGAGAGGGAGAGAGAATCCCAAACTCGATCTAACAAAGAGCTGAAATCAAGAGTCAGATGCTTAACCAACTGAGCTACCCAGGTGCCCCAGAAGTCATAGTTTTTTAAATGGAAATATTATAATACTATTTATAGCACTCTTAGGAAATTAATAACAACTATTTCTACATTATAAATTCAACCATGTTGCACAAAAACAGTCACTCTTAGGGAGGCGGGATAGCAAGATTGTTGGATGGACGAAGCTAGCTGGCCTGAGCTGGAATCCTGGCTGTCACGAGTAGGGTAACCTTGGGCAAGTTTCTCAACCTGCTTAGGCCTCAGTTTCCTCATCAGAAAAACGGAGTGATACGGCCTAACAAACCTATACCAGTGCTTACCAAGTACGTCTGAGTGGAACAGAAGACCGCTTTATGTGGTTACACAGGCAAACATGTTTTGCATGAATGACAATCACTTACGACCTAAGGATCGGGCTAATGTAGGTGGTAGCCACGTCAAACAATGACAGTTACAGGTACTGTGCTCTGGTGACCCACTGAGGAGTCAAATCTTGAGTAACGGAATCTTTACCAACGCTGTTGAGATGTGCAGGGAAAACCGAAAACTTGTATGTGATTAGTTCCCCTTGCGGCCAGTGAGAGTGGGAAAAAGAGGCCACCCCTCACACAACCAGGACCCAAACTATGCTTGAAACACGCACTGTCCACAGGCCCTGAGAGCATCAAGCAACTGGCCAGCAAGGGTCCTGCCGGCTGGAGCCTAGGAAGCTGCCATAGCAGTGTTGGCCTACTCCACCTATCCTGAATCACAGATCACGGAGTCTGACATCTGAGTCACAGGCACATATGTCCAGATACATACTTTTGTTGGTTGATTAGACTGCCCAGTGTAGTAACATTTTTTCTTCCTTTGGCTTCTAAAAACATAGACAGCAACCATCTGTTTAGAAGTTACCTCGATTTTTCTCTTCTACTCACCATGTACGGTCTCCCAATGCAAGATTAAGAAACACTGCCGTAGGGGGGCACCCGAGTGGCTCAGTCGGTTAAGTGTCCGACTTTGGCTCGGGGCGTCATCCCACGGTTCGTGGGTTTGAGCCCTGTGTCATCTGTGCTGATCGTGTGGAGCCTGCTTGGGATTCTCTCTCTTTCTCTGCCCTCCCCCACATGCTCATGCACGTTCACACTCTCAAAACAAATAAAAGTGAAAAAACCTGTTAATTAAGTTAAAACAAATGTTAATTAAATTAAAATGTTAATTAATGGGGCACCTGGGTGGCTCAGTCGGTTGAGCAGCCGACTTCGGCTCAGGTCATGATCTCATGGTCTGTGAGTTCGAGTCCCATGTCGGGCTCTGTGCTGACAACTCAGAGCCTGGAGCCTGTTTCGGATTCTGTGTCTCCCTCTCTCTGACCCTCCTCCATTCATGCTCTGTCTCTCTCTGTCTCAAAAATAAATAAATGTTAAAAAAAAAATTTTTTTTTAATAAATAAATAAAATGTTAATTAAATTAAAACCGCCATAAGCCAGCAACTACAGGTTCTATTCCCCATTAACGGCACTAAGGGATGTGCACTAGTAGCTGTGCAAAGCTGACACCACCTTCGACTCCGCCACCCACGAGGCCTGGTCCTACATTTGGAAGACTTCCAGCTGGGGCAACTTCACCACTTCATTTCTTGCAGCTTTTCCAGATGCACCTTCGATTACTTGTGCCATTATTTAAAAGCCACAGAAAACATCTCAGCTGGCCCAACATCTCTGAATAGAATGTACTGACTTTTTAATGAAATGAAAATGATTAAGGCAAAATGTATATAGTCTCCTACCACTGCCTGCCCCCAATTCTTATTCTGAATTTCCAAGCCACAGAAAAGTTCCAAGAATACAAAATAGTAGGGAAACTGGAACACTCACACACAGTAGAGCAGTCCCAGTGCTTTGGAAAACAGTTTGGTGGGTCTTCAAAACGTTAAACATAAAATTACTGTATCACCCAGCAATTCCACACCTCTGTGTATATGCAAGAGAAATGAAAACGTATGTTCACACAAAAACTTGTACAGGAATGTTCATAGTAGCATTCTTCATAAAAGCCAAAGTGAAAACAACCTAAATGTCCATCAACAGATGAATGGGTAAATAAAACATGGTCTATCCATGCAATGGAATATTAGTCCGCCATAAAAAGGACAAGGAACTGATTGACATACGCTACATGTATGAACGCTGAAAACATGCTAAGTGAATTAAGCCAGTCATGAAAGGCTACATGTTGTTTGATTCATTTATATGAAGTTTCCACAATAGGCAAATCCATGGAGACAGAAAGCAGATCTGTGATTGCCAGGGGCTGAGATGTAGAGGGGATGAGGAGTATCGGCTAATGGGTGGAGGGTTTCTTTTTGGGTGGATCAAAATGTTGTAAAATTACATGGCGGTGATTATTCACCCAACCCCGTGAATATGTTACAACCACTGAATTCTACACCTTAAATGGGTAAGTTTTACGGTATTTGAATTACATCTCAATAAAATTGTTATTAAAAAATTACAAGGGGTGCCTGGGTGGCTCAGTCGGTTGAGCATCTGACTTCAGCTCAGGTCATAATCTCGCAGTCCGTGAGTTCAAGCCCCGCGTCGGGCTCTGTGCTGACTGCTCAGAGCCTGGAGCCTGTTTCAGATTCTGTGTCTCCCTCTCTCTCTGACCCTCCCCTGTTCATGCTCTGTCTCTGTCTCAAAAATAAATAAATGTTAAAAAAAAGATTAAAAAAAAAAAAGAATACAAGGTAGACTCGATCAGAGTCCTCCATTATTAACACTTTGCCCCACGTGCTCTCTCTCTTCTCCTCACATCCACACACACACAATATGTGGGTGGACTATTTAAAATCTAGTTATTTCCACACTTTACTCCTAAAGACTTCAGTATGTGGAGCATTCTCCTACATAGCCAAAATACAAATATCCCAGTCGGGAAATTTAACACCCATACAAAATTATTTTTCGTACAGTCTATATCCAAATTTATTTATCAGGAATTGCACACTGTATTTAGTTGTCGTATCTTTGTAGGCTCTTTTAATCTAGAAAAATTGCTTTTCATGACATTCACATTTTTTAAGAATCCAGGCCAATTATTTCAGAGTGTTCCTCAATTTGGAAATGCCTGATTGTTTCCTTACGAACTGATCTAAGTTGAACCCTTTTGGTAGGAGTATCACATCGAAGGGCTTTTGCTTTTCAGTGCCATCAGGCCAGACCCTTTATTATCATGCCAGAACTAAACCTCAGTGTCACTAGTGGTGGCAGTGAGGTGATGCTCACTGTTGGTTGTCGCTGGAGTCCTGATAACCTGATTCCTCCATTATAAAGGTAGCTTTTTCCCTTTGACATTAACAATCTGGGGGGGGACCATTTGAGTCTGTGTAAATATCAGGTTTCCCCAGCTGTGTTGCACTCAAAAGGTTTAGCCTCTGTTCATGATCTTTGCTTGGTCTTCGATCCTTTTTGAGACTGCTCTGCATTAATGTGACCAACTGCTACTCGCAAGTTTATTCCACAGTGCAAGCCAGCTGGGATTTTAACACCGGCTGCACATTACAATCAATGGTATCTCTGGGAGTGGGACCCTGGCTATCATACTTTAAAATTCCCAAGGTGATTGATTCTACTGCAGAGTAGGGTTGAGCTACAAGAACCTTGCATCACCCTCGTTTTGCAAATAAGGCAACTGAGGACTGAGGAGATTAAGTGGAGAATGGCAGGCACAAAACTTGTTAGTGCCATAATTAAGATTTTTATTTTTTTGTACTTGCATTTTAATATGCTATTCCTTCTGTAGATCATTCAAACAATAAAACCGGAGAAATGAGTCACTTCTGTACGGTGTTAGAGCTGACCGGGGCCCGAAGTGCGTATTTCTGCTTTCAAAGCGAAGTCTGCCTTTCGTTCAGTAAGACCCCTGCAGTCACAGCGGGAGCGAAGGAACGGGGCAGGTGGTCACCGAGCTCCTCGGCCCTCACTGGACAGCTCAAGCTCCGGAACCAAGGCCGAGCCGGATGTTCACGAGGCCAGACGGTAAACGCTGCAGCCCAGGCGCCGGCCCCTCCGGCCCGCAAGCCCCGCCGACGCGGTGACGACTCCGGCCGGGGTGCCCTCCTTAGGGCTGCGGGCCGCGCGCGGAACACACCTGGCGGGGACGCACCTGGAGGGGCGCTCTGCCCCGCCCAGGCACACCCAGAAGTGCGCGGGGCCCCGCAGACGACGGGACCTGCAGGCCCGCCCACCCTACTTACCCCGGCGTGATAAACCTTGTTCGCTCTCTTAATCTTAATATCCAGGCAGGTCCCCATTTCGAGTACTCCGCGGCCGGCAGCACTTCCTGCCGCGCGTGACCCGAGCGGAAGGCGAGTCGCCCCGCCCCTCCGACCCGGGCCCGCCCCTTTTCCCTTGCCGCTAGCTGTCTTTTCTGGAGACGTCGCGCCTTTCTCGGGATCGACTCCCCCGCCTTCCTTTTTCCGGTGCAGGGGCGGGCCTTAGCGCGGGCCGAGGGGCTGTCACTCTTCACCCCGCCCCTGCTGGGCGTGAGGGGCGGGACCAGGCCGGCCCCACCCTTTCCGTAAGGACTGTCCTAACACCGGAAATACCCTCCAAAACGGCTCTCTCCCGGCGTGCCCCGCGGTGGGGGGGTGGTGCCGAGGTCGCGTAGCGCGGGCCCTGCCTTTGCGGGCTAAGTGAAGCTCCCGTCAGGCTGTGCGGCCCAGGGGCGCTGCGCTATGTTGGCCTTAAGGTGGTGATAACTGAGGACTGAGTTCCCTCCCTAGTCTCCTGCCTCTCGCCGTCTCTAGTCCTACCCCACTCTCTCCCGAGGGTTCTGAAGACTGGCGTCTTCGCCTTTGCGGCACTGCCTCCCCTGCCCGCGGCCCCGCGCTCCCGGCCCGCAAGGCGCCGATTGGCAGGCGGCCCGCCTGGCCCGCCCCTGCCTCTGGGCCGCGGGCCAAGGTCTCGGGGAGCACCAGGTGACCTCGCCCCGCTCTGAGTCCCCGGAGGCCGGCTGGGCGGGGCCGCGGGGGCTTGTGGGTACTCCCCCGGCGCGCGCCCTGGAACCGGGGGCTGAATATTCATGTCGGTGCGCGGGATGCGGGGAGGCGCGGCCCGCAGGCCCTGAGTGCCGGCAGCGCGCGCAGATGGGAACCTCGGAGCCGAAGCGGACCTGCTCAGTCTGTTTTTCATTCCCGGACGGAGCCGACTGAAGCAGGCACAAGACATATTGGTTTTGGGGGGAGTGGCCTCCAGGCAGGGCAGCAATAAAGTGGTAGGAAACGTTTTGCCGTGACGAATAAAATTCCTCGTAGATGTTTTAAACGAGGGCTTTGCCAATAAGCAGGCAGGTAACATTTCGTTATTTTGGCAATGCGGTGAAGAAGTGCTTTTTGTTCTTAAATTCTTTAGTTCTGATGTTTGTTTTTCAATGTGCATTAGTTACAGGATGACGTTAGAAATCTTCCGTAAAACGATTTCGTGAATTAGTGTGACCGGTGCCTCCCTCTTGAGAATTTAAGGCATTTTTTAGGACGACACTGATGGTGCTATAGCTACAATTGCTTTTGAAGGGTGATACAAGGTGGTATTTCCCAATATTCAGGTCTCCGGTTTCAGCTCCTCTCTGCCCTCAGGGCTTCAGTCTCTCTGTCTTGGATGTCTTCCTGCAACTCAGACTCAGCAATTCTAAAACAATTCATTAGGGACTTGATAATCACAGACTAGTCTATTTGCAATTCAAGAAATGAATCCCTCTCCACTAGACTCACCCAGCATTTCCAACTGGTAAATCTCAATCTCAGTAGACAATGCAGGGAAACAGGAAAAGAAACCTCTTACAGGGATCCACATCCTAGACTTGTCTGCTTCTGCAAACCTGCTTTCTACTTAACTTTACAACCAAACATTTCTTATCCCCTGAGGTCAGCTAGGCCATGTTGTTATTCCTCTTTGTAAATTGTACACAATTTGTGTGGAATGCTGGTGCGGAGCAAAGAGCTCTGGTTCCAGCAGTTGTCAGTGTAATCAGTTTTGGGGCCCTCTCTGTGTGGTGGCTTCTAAACATGAAACGGTCCATTTTTCTCCAGTCACTGTTGTTTTGAATCTTTTCTCCATCCCTCAGCTACACCTTAGGGCATACTCCTGTCTGGTCAGTTTCAGTTACTAAAAATCAGACCACGTCAAAGTGCCAATCTCAGGACATGAGTGGGATCCCAGATCCTTAGTTGGGAGTGGGAAGGTACGAGTCATGCTTCTGGCTCAGACACTTTTTCAGGGTCCTCTTCAAGGCCTGGATGCTTCTGTGTTGAGGCAAGCATCTTTTAACTGGCCACTGCCAAAGTTCTCTCTTAATTGATTCCTGCTTGTCTTGACAACTGGTCCTTGTTCAAAACTCCTTTCGTGGGGCACGTATGAGAAGGTCTGGTGGGCCTTCTCCCTCCCATGCATTTCCATGGAAGATCTATCTCCAGCTCAATATTTTCTTATCACCCCCCAGCACCCAGTAGTACACCCAGCCTCTTTGTGACGGTTCAGCAAGGCGGCTCAAGACCATTTATCTCCCACGGAGTCCGCGTGACCCATGAGAAATACACATCCTTGCCACACAAAAGGGCTGGACTGGAACCTGCCCCAAGGCCTCTCCTCTCCACCCTGCTGTCTCTCTTCAATCTTCTTGCTCCCTCCTAAAATGCAGACAGGAATAAATTAAGAATGTAGGCCAGACAGGTTTGCAAGGAGTCAATGAAAGACCAGCCTCTCCTTGCAGTAGTCCCCACCAATACCAAGGAGAGATTACCTTGCAGCCTCCCCCTCTACGTCACCTCCCACCAGAAACGCTGAACTCTGCAAGGGCAACTGCCTCCTTTTATTCCTTCCTCTCCCTCCCCATGTCGACTGAGATGGAGAGGATTGGGGAAGTACTTGGTGGAAGCGGGACTTGACTGCAGCTCTTTATTAAGCTCTGGGGAAAATACCTGCCAACAAGTGTAGGCATCTTTTGTTGGAAGATGGGGCACTATGCTTGTCTCAGCTGTGAGCGTATTGCCCATTCTGGGACTGTAGGAGACGGACCACTAAACATCTTTTAGTGAAGGCTGTGCTGCTCTGTTCAGACCTTTTAGGACTGAGGAACGTGTTTCTGAGCTGCTGGGAGTATTGCTCTCAAAAGTTGTCAGCTAAACTCACTCTTTAAAGCTTGCCCTTAGCTGAGGAAAACTGCATTGCCCAAAGTCATGGTCATTTGGGTGGGGGAGGGAATTTGGGGGGGACAGCCCACCTGTAATGACTAGTCAATTTAGAACGTAAAGACTTCTTCCCTTCACCCCAGTTTGGAACGACTCTGAAGGACAAGTCACCTCCCAAGATCCCTATATTAGTTATCTATTGCGTGATAAATTACCTCCAACAATTAGCAGTTTAACACAACAAACATTTTTGAACTCATAGTGTCTGTGAGTCAGGAACTCAGGAGCTGGGTAGGAACTTCACTGGGTAGTTTTGGCTCAAGGTGTCAGGGGGTTGCAGCCAAGTCAACAGTCCTCTGAAGGCTGGACTGGACTGGAAGATACACTTCCAAGATGGCGCCCTTACATGGCTATGGGCTGAAGGCCTCAGTTCCTCACCACGTGGGACTCTCCACAGGCTGCTTGAGAGCCCTCACAGCATGGCAGCCAGCTTCTCCCATACCAGGCAGTCCCACAGGGCGAGCAGACGGAGCTCTGCAGTGCCTTCTATGGCCTAGGCTCTGAACTCTCACATTTATGCTTCCTTTATTGGTTAGAAGAGAGTGATTCCAGCCCACACCCAAGGGAAGGGGAATTTGGCTCCTTTGGAAAGGAATATCAAAGAATCTGTGGACATATTTTAAAGCACTCTGTGCCCATTGGCTGGGGAGCCTTCCTGTGATTGCATCACAATTAAACTTTTCCCTCTGCCCAACCCAACCCTGCTTGCTTCACCCCCACCCCACCCCCAACACACCTGTTGATCTGGGGAACACTCCTTAATTTATTTCCTGCACATTAATCTCCATCTCAGGGCCTGCCCCTTGGCAACCAGCCTGCAACAATCCTGTCACGCCAGCTTCCTGACTTAACTTCTTTGAGCTTCTGTAAAATGATCTCAGTGCTTCTTAAAAAGTGATTCATAACGACTCACATATATATAAAGTACTTGCTGTGGATCAGGCACTGTTCTAAGCACTTGAAATATTTTAATTTGTTCCATCCTTATAAGTACAGTTATGACTCCCTCACCTTACAAAAGGGAAAAACAGACACAGAAGGGTTAGTGGACTCGCCCGAAGCCATGTAGCAGCTAAGTGGCAGCCACCATTTTGATCCAGAGCTCACATGTGCAATCACCAATCACCATGCTACATATGTGCACGCGACAAACGTTGGGCTTAGTGCAAGGGGACAGAGGGTCTTAATGAAAAGACTGGGCAAAGAACTCCCAATGAAATGTGAAAGTCAAGCAAGAGTTCAACTTACAGTCAAAGGTGATTTGAGAGAACTTGATGGTGAAGGCACACGCTGTAAAAGCCATAGGAGAATTGTATGGCACATGAGCTTACTGGGGCCGCCATCAGAAAGTACTGCCAATGGGCAGCTGGGAACCACAAACATTATTCTCTCTTGTTTGGTTCTGGAGACTGAGGTCTGAAAACAAGATGTCAGCAGGGTTAGTTCCTTCCAGCAGGAAGGTTAGTTCCTTCCAAGGGCTGTGGGGAAGGTTCTGCTCCAGGTGCATCTCCCTGGCTTGCAGATGGTGGTCTTCCTCTGCGACCCCTCACGCTGCATTACTTTGTGTGTCTTCATCCTCACCTGGCATTCTCCCCACATGTGCGTCTGTCTCCAAAACCCCCCCCCCACTTTTTTAAAAAATATTTTTATTTATTTTTGAGAGACAGAGACCGTGCATGAGCCAGAGAGGGACAGAGAGATGGAGACACAGAATCCAAAGCAGGCTCCAGACTCTGAGCTATCAGCACTGAGCCCGACATGGGGCTTGAACTCACGAACCGTGAGATCGTGACCTGAGCTGAAGTCAGCCGCGTAACCAACTGAGCCACCCAGGTACCCCTAAGTGTTCCCTTTTTGTGGGGCGCCTGGGTGGCTCAGTCGGTTGAGCGTCAGACTTCGGTTCAGGTCACGATCTCGCGGTCCGTGAGTTCGAGCCCCGCGTCGGGCTCTGTGCTGACAGCTCAGAGCCTGGGGCCTACTTCCGATTCTGTGTCTCCCTCTCTCTCTGCCCCTCCCCCGTTCATGCTCTGTCTCTCTCTGTCTCAAAAATAAATGTTAAAAAAAAA